CCCCCGCTGTTTTTCTGGTTAAAGCCACCATCTCTGAATGACTATAACTTATTTTTAACTGGTCATACAAATTATTAGAATTGTCTTAAGTGGTCATATCATTGTCCTCCTTCACAGTTTTCATGAGGCAACCAAAATGAAGGAGGTGACCTCATCCTTCTCGCTTTAAATCCATCACTGTCTCTCTGGATTCTTCGAGTAAAGTGCAACCTTTCCTACCAGGCTCACCAGGAACCATATGTCCTTGAACTGTTCAAATATTTTCAGCCTTGCTGGTATCCACCTCACACCAATATCAAGTCATCTGGAAGGTTTTCTGTTGCTCCAAGTCTTGGAATAGGTTGTTCTGTTTTAACTAAAACACCTTTAAATCTACCCCTTGCTCCCACACCTAACCCACCCATAACTGTCCCTGCAGAACTTGACTGAAATGTCATCTCATGTCCTCTCCTACCACCTGACATACCTTCTAAATCTCTATGAATGTTCCCATGTTTATCCCTATTATTGGTGAGACATAGAAACGATCATGCTGCTTGCTGTAAAGGGCACCGATGCAGGTGCCATCTTGAGTGAATGCTAGGTCCTCAACAACTGCTGGCTGAATGAGTAGGAGGACTGGCAAAGTAGTCAGGGGCTCTTTAGTATAAATTGGTGTTATTTTATGTTAACGACAATGCTAATTGTAATTGTAATTCAAGATTGTATTCTCCCTCTGGACATTATTTATATTTAATAACAAACTAGTTCTCTTTGAAAGCCAAAGCATGTATTCATCTTTTACAGTTGAAATGCCAGGGGATACACAACAAGCCCTGCCACCCTGAGCTTTAAGTAATCAGATAACATTATTTGTTCGAAAAACTACTAACTGTCCTACCGAGGTTATGCTCACTGCACGATTCCTCGGGTTCACACGACTCTGACCTAAAGCACCTTTCAAACTTTCCCATGAATTTAGAGGACGATTTGTCTCGCCAGTGCTGGAGTCGGTTGGAGTACGAGCAAAGTGCAAATGATTCAAACACACTGAGCCGACTTCTAGTTAGCAAGTCCATCTTAAGGTCCCCACCAGCACCAGGTCAGAGTCGCGTGGAGTCTGGCCCAGGTCTCCCTCCCGGGTGGTGCCAGCCCTCCCAACCGCACCAGCCTTCCCACCCGCACTTGGCGGTGCCGGGTCTCCCCCGGCAGCCCCGCCTCCGCGGTGTGGCCCGCCCTCGG